CTATTTTTTGTACCAAATGTTTGCAGATAAAAAATCTGCTAGATAAAAAACTAAGGCATGAGCATATCCACCGATTTGTGTCAGTAATTCATTGAGAGTTTGGATGAATAATTTGTTTTTAAGGTGGTACCATTCTGTTTTGAAATCAGAGCGCCAATGTGCTACAGTTCTACCATCTTGTAACTGCTGTAGCCGATCTACTTGCCCAAGTATAACTTGTGTTATGATGATATATACTAATAAGTTCAAGCATATATGATTATATTCGGAAAGATAATCATGCTTGATTACTTTCCAATGGCTTTCAATTGTCATAGAGGACCGCAAAAAATTGACATGTATCGTTACAGAACAAGCCCATAATTTCCATTGTTCTGGGTGGTACCATTCATTCCATAAATATGCCCAAACATGAGGCAAATTATTAACTTTACAATAATTGTGCTGCTCCTTAACACAGTTTTTCCAAATCTCTTGTAAATTATACAATCTTTATCATGTTTCAGTGGGAATTAATGGGTGTACAAAAAAATATACTCGAATTAATTGAATAATATGCTCGCGAAAATCTTTCTGGCAAAATATTTGATACTTATCCATATTTTTTTATACATCATTATTTAAACATAGCTCATTAAGTGTATTCTGATTTCTTGATGCTGGTTGCCAAGTTGGGTCAATTTCTGAGCAAATTGTATGTGCTTCATGTGTATTGTATGTTGAATGAACAATTCCGGTTCTAGAAAGCTTTTTTTTAATAGCGTGAAGGACATGCTAGTAGCATAGCTGAACTCGTGCATGTGGCCAAATTGTTTGAGCAGAAGTAATTTGAGTGAAGTCTTTATTACTCAAAAAAGTTTTAACATGCCAAATGCCTTGTTCTCTGATTAAACAGAACCGATTTAAAAGGATCTTTGAACGCTTTTCTTCTTGACCAGGCTTTAACAATAGATAAGTTAAAGAAAACCCCGTTCTATCTACAATTCCAAGAATTGCATAAAGCTCATACTTCAATCGATTAGTATTGTATGTAGCATCAACAATAATTATATTAATTTGTTCTTTAGGAAAAGCATCAAATAAAGGCATAGTAAACGCAATTATGGTAGGTTGCTGAATAATTAATTTGAATATAGTTTGGTTTGAAAGATATTGGATTGTTGATTCTATTTGATCCTTGGCCATTTTGTATTCATTAAGTCCTAATCGTTTACACTAGTAATAAATTTGTTGCTGTGTAATATAAGTATACCCATCAAGACCTAAAGTTTTTATGTTATAATAAATCTGAGGA